TAGAGCTCTTGATTTTCTTCAGGCAAAGAGAGAGCAACTCCCTGGACTCGAGGGCACACGACATCCAGGTGGCAGGAGGCTGCAAGTACCTGCATGATAGAGGAAGAGGAGTGTTTAAGCCTCAACTTTCTCAAAAACAATTGTACCCGTATATATATTTTCTTCTAGAGAGAAGCATTGATGTTATCTGTGTATCATGTAGTTAAATGTCTGTTTGATTTGTGGTTTTAAAAAAAAAGAGAGAGGATTAAACAAACCTTTCACACTGCTTGCAGAAGTTCACAGTGACTTGCTTGGGAATCCCCTCTGAGATGTCCACCTGAGTGCGCAGGCAGGCCACACACATGTTGGCTGGGTTGGGAGGGATGGGGACGCCACAGGTACAGCACAGGCTGGGGGGGAGAGGCAACGTTGGTAAAACGTAATGAAATAAACAAATGACATGGCATTTTACACCTCTAGGAAAATCCGTTTTTATTGTCTCCCAGAAATGTTGACATTCCTGCTGATTGTGCTACATTTCTCCTGATGCAGAAAGATTGTACAGGAATTCACTACTGTTCGGTGTTGAAAAACCCCCCAAAATGAAGATAGCGACATTCAAACTCACTCAGGTTGACTCTTTAAATTATTATTGTCAACTGAAATAGTGTGCCAATAAAACAATGTGAAAACGAATTTTCCTGACCAAAAGAATTGCCATTCACAATATTATCCTGATTAACATAAAATATGACTAAAGCTCTTAATATGGCAATGAAACACACTGCAAACAATTTACCTAAAATTAAGTAAAGAATCAGACATCCATTTTTAGTGAACATCCTTTTTAATACAAAATAAACAATGTAACTAGCTAAAATAACGTTAACATGAATCAGCTGTATAAATACAAGATAAATAACTTGCAAATAGTAACATTGTGTGCGTCTGATCTTTCTTGCTTTATAATTCCTGTAAGTATTTAAATCAGGCTATACCATCTTAGTGAGCTGACAGCTCTTTCAGTAACATATGTAAAGATAATTATCCCAAAAATGGAAATTCACCACTATCAACTTATTGTAAATGTATACATTCGTGATGTCAGTCTTAGTAAGCCCCAAAGACAACATCTGTCAATAAGGCAAATATGTGATGCACTTGGTTTATACATTGTGATTAGAAGACATAATGACTATTTATATTTATTCACTTACATATTTGCCTGGCTGATTGTGGCAGGGGCTTGAACGTACTCCATTCTTGTCAACTTCACAGATCAGTGTACTTCAGTGGATCTTTATGATGTCTGAGGACAGAAACAGGAAAGACTATACTGGCACAGCTTTAACAGTAACACATCTGGAGAATAGCCAACAGGAGCAAGTAGCGAGCAGTGTGTACCAACTACTTAAATTATTCATTACAGCAGGTACATAATACTATTAGTTTGTTGTAAACACTTGTAAAAACATAGACAGCGACATTAGATCATTAAAGAGATGCTGTGCATGCTCTGAAGCTAAAGCTGCTAGCTGATGCTACACATCCAGTATCACACGGTTAGCATTCGGGGCTAATTTGCCAGTTTTTACGAGTAATTCTAAAAGATATTTATCAAGACATGTCAAACAAACGTATTCGATAACTACAACAACTAAAAGCCTGGGATGACAACACTTACTGAAGTGTTTTTGATGGTATATCCACAACACAGCGTGAAGTGAAGTCGTCCACGTTTTCCTTACCGAGGACCGAGAGGCTTGGTGACGTCACGCAGTACGAGAGGACCCCGGGCTGTCTTTGTTTGCCTGAACACATTTCCTTAAAAAAAACATTAAATTATGGCATTAATTATTCCAGTCAACACCAGTGAGGGCCCACATACAATTATTCAATATCATAAACAAATAATTAAAAAAAATAAAGACAATTAAGAAAACGGAAGGAAAAAGGGAGAGCAAATTATGTTTTAATGTTTTATTTAGATATAAAGGTATAGGCTTAAATAAATAAAACATGATATTATACATTTTCGAGAAATGCATACCATATTAGGCTATATAAACATTACGAGGACAGACAAAAGATTGGTGTAACATTTCATTTAGCTTAATAATAATAATAATAACTTGGATTTATATAGTGCCTTTCATGAGACCCAAGGTCGCTTAGTTTGAAAGCTCACCACCTGGACCTTTTTGCAAATCGTTTCAGCAACAATATCATTGTAATGTGAGTTGAGCATCTATTTGACTTAATGCATCATATTGGATTTAATAAAGTTACTGTTTCATCATCTACTTCTCAATTCATATCACAGATCTGTTAATCTAACAATTCTAATGAATGTACTTGGGGTTTATGGTGCAAAAATTAGCTGCTGGCCCCTAACCCATGAGTCCTCACACTCTCTGATAAACAGATGGAGCACTATGCTTGTGGTAGAAATCACATGTCATGAGATGAGGTTTGCAGTGTGATGTGTAGGTTATATAGAACATAGTTTTAAAATGTATCATTTAAATTCAAAACCAGATGAAATAATGAAGATTTGAAGTCTTTAACGGACACTTATGCAAACAGCATCTTAAGATCAGCTTTTAAAGCACCATCTTAAAAAGGACGTTGATTTGTCAATAATATTATGAAAAAACATAAAGGCACCAAGCGTGAATGTCCGGGGATCCAGTAAAGTCACACTTTTAATAATTTAGCACTCAGAGGGATTATTTATTTGACAATGCCAATAATTCAAGGACATTTGCAAAATTGGGCCTTTGCTTTTTAGAAAGAATCCCTTCTCTGTTCACTCTGTGCGCACCTGTGGTAACCCAGCTCTCTGGATGTCTTCAAGTGCTGTCGGAAATATCTCAACTAAAACGAGCGTACTTTAATGCTCATGTATTCAGTGCATGAAATAAAGGAAACGTGGGAATACTTACAGCTACACCAGCAGGATGTGACTGTTAATCTACAATATGCATGAAAGATGTGTGGTTAAAGTATTTTAGTCTGTTTTTAACAATTAGATACCTCTTTATGTATGGCATTATCAGTGGCGACTGGTCATTAGGCACAGCCCCACCTAGTGTCAGCAGAAAGTATTAAAAATAATGATTACAAAAAAATGCAAAAAATAAATTAAATATATTTTAAGATCATGTTTAATCATCTGATTCGTCTGTACATTGCTGTTTTAGTCTGTGTTCTTGTAATTAGTGTCTACAGTGTGTGCCTATTGAGCTGTTTAGAGCCATGTGGGACAAAACCCGATCCTGCCCCTCCCTCTTACTGTCTAAGTCAATGGTGACTGTAAAAACTACACTGCGCATGCTCAGAATATTTTCCTATTTAATGTGTGTGGCAAAAAATAATGACCATAGGGGCACTGTGCTGCCATCCCCACCATACGTCATCTCACATCAGTCAGAGCTGATTGGCTGTAAGTACGTGTGCCGCGAAAAGTGTGGTGTGTGAAGAGGAGACGAGAGAGCTGCAGTGAGGCGTCCTAAAACCCGGAAGTAAGCTGCGCATGGCTTCCCTCGACAAAAAAGCAATGAGATTTCTCCATAGGATTTTAGAAAATAGCTCCAAATAAGGTCTGTGGGAAACAAACCTGTTAGATAAATGCACGTTTTGTTCAGCCGGATAATATCCACATGTCTACCCTTTATAATTTTCGAGTCATACATCTATTGATTAGATTAGATTTATGATAGACTTTTGAAACTACAAGAACATAAGAAGGACTTTTACAAAAAAGTAATAGAGATTTTTGTCCAGAAGGATAGGCCAGGACTTCATCTTCAAGTCAAGGTAAGACTGCAATTTTATTGAAAATGGGATCTTACTAAGAGAGAACAATTCAATATTTAAATGATAAAATTACATTTTTTGGGTATCCTTCTGTTGAACTGTCTGTTTAAAATTAATTGAAGCATCAGACAAAAAAAGCTTTTGAAAATAATATTATATTTTGATTTAGGTCAAAATATAATATTTGTAAAACTGCCTCACCAGCCATGAACCTCACTGCAGAAGCTTATAGACATCTAAGTTTTTTGTGCCCCACCACTTTTGTACATATAAAAACGCCACTGGGTATTATCAAAGATTACCCAGCAGAAGAGACATTAAAGTTAGTTCCATCTCTAACAATTGCAACATAAAAAAAGGGATGAACACATTGAGCATCATAATTTGATTCAAATAATATCATATAAAGTATATGCAATGGGCCCTTCTGCATAATGAGTATGAGTATATTCTTTTTGATTCCTCAGTACATTTTGATCTAATATAGTACTTTTACTTAAGCGTGAAGGTTTTAAATGCATGGCTGTTGCTTATGTTTACATTGTATTTATGTATTTGTATTACTTCCACCCGTGGTAAATTGTGTTATTTAAATAACACCCGATGGAGACAAAGGAAATTATTTATAAACACATCTCATATATTCACATAGGTGGATTTTGTACTAAAGTAAAAGTAGAAATACCAAAGAGCAGGAATACTCTTGTACAAGTAAAATACCTGTATTAAAAATCTTACTTAAGTAAAAGCACACAAATATTGGCATCAAAATGTAATTAAAGTTCCATAAGTAAAGTAATCCTTATGCAGATTGGCTCATATCCGAATTATTTATATAACATGTTTTCATTATAATTATTGATAGAATAATGTGTTTATCACAGCTTTTAAAGGTGGAACTCATTTGAATGACTTTGTATACAGCAAGTTAGATTGCGAATGTTACTCCAGGTGTAACTAAAGTGTTATTTAAGTGTTGATTACATTTAATTAATTAATTCTAAATCTGCTAAATTACTAAATATGTTAATAAATGTAGTGGAGTAACATTGCACTATTAACTTCAGAATTATAGTACGGTAGAAGTACAAAGCATCACAATTGTACTTAAGTACAGTAGCCTACTTGAGTAAATATACTTGATTACTTCCCTGCTCTGAAATTCTTTGTTTTTGGGAGATTCCGAGCTGCACCTGAAGGCATCACTCCGCTTTAATAGTCAGTCAGAAGCAAAGAGTCGCAGCCACCCAGTGTGGCAGCTGGGAATGTGTTGGTTACAAGTCTATGGTTACAACACGGACCGGTATTTCAGGACGATGAGCAGTAGCGGGGCTGGCCAAGAAGAGACTCTGCTCAGCCAGCACACGGGCTTAAATTGAACTCTGAACGGAGGACTTGCATTGTCTGCCCAGGGTAGTCGGTGTTCTCGGAGCGCATCAGATGGTGCACGGAGAGCCGCTGGTGGCTCACTGCAGGGCTGCAAGCTAGAGGGAGAACCGCCGGAGCACCGTGTTCGTCCCCCGGTTTGTGCACACCTTACCCCCTGCCTGCTGTGTCCGGTTACACAACGAATTAAGGTGTCCCTTGACAGTAGGCCTATACTCTTTACGAGTCCAGGTTTTAAACGCTGGGTTATGCGTCTGTTTTACCGATACCAAAACACTTGCACCAACGACAATGGACTAAACCTACAGCGGGGGCGAGCGACACACAACCTGCCGCAGATTTCCTACATGTAAATAAATAGATGATAGAGGATACAATGACCCTGTTGTCTCTGTTAGGTCGGATCATGCGTTATTTTCTGCTCAGACCGGAGACCTTGTTCCTGCTGTGTATCAGCCTGGCTCTGTGGAGTTACTTCTTCCACACGGACGAAGTGAAGACCATCGTCAAGTCCAGCCGGGATGCGGTCAAGATGGTCAAGGGGAAAGTGGCGGAGATGATGCAGAACGAGCGGTTCGGAGGGCTGGACGTCCTGGACGCGGAGTTCTCCAAGACATGGGAGTTCAAGAGCAGCAACGTAGCCGTGTACTCCATCCAAGGCCGGCGAGACCACATGGAGGACCGGTTCGAAGTGCTCAGCGACATCGTCAACAAGAGTCACCCCTCTATTTTTGGGATTTTTGATGGCCATGGAGGAGAGGTGAGTGAGGGTGTTGTGTATCATCGTAATGAAGGCTTCACCTTTACCATTGTGCACACTGATGTTCCCTTGAAGTCTTATAAACAGGCTACTAATACGACGTTCTTCAACTCCAGATATCAGCCTGGTACGCAGTTAAAGACAACAAATACATTTTAATTATAAGACAACTTTTAAGAACTTGGCACTATCGTAGAGCATTGAGGTATTGACTTGTGTCAGAATGAGCAGCAGAGGGAGGTTTGTTGAAGCGGCTGGAGCAGCTTGTTTTTGTAAGCTGATGAATAAGTGATGAATCACATTTTTTTTAAATTATTGTAAATTAGAGTTATGTGTGGTAGTGACTTGTGATACATTTGCAGGGCTGGATGACTGTGCTTCGAGTAATCCATTTCCTCCACATTTTGTTAGTTTTTTTCTCTCTACTTGAATCAGATTTGCTGAATGACAATTAGAGAGATGTTGCAAATAATCTCAATACTATTATTGTGGTCTTCAAACTACTGTACTTAATGGCCCTCTTTGAGACAGTGAGTTATAGGGGTAGGAACTCACTGTAAGGCCCTCATCATGTCAGTTGATATTCTGTGTTCATTTGTCATAGGTGACACACAGCCAATTTGAGGTAATCCAGGCTTGGGTATTAAATTGTCAGAGTATTTGTGGATAAGTGGAGCAGGTGCCCAACATACCCAACTCTGCACAAGACCCTGTATTTCCTATCAGTTTTTCCAGTGAAATCTCCACAGCTAGCTCAGCTCAATGCCATGAGCAAAGCATAACTAAAGTGGCACTTTATATACATGATTTGCTGGTCACTGTCAAGACTTTTTTGCAGTTGCGAGAACTCCTTTCTTTCTGCTTCTTTTGTGCTCACTTATGTTGTTTTTCAGCATAAACAATGCAGTACGTTCAGGGAACAGGTTTGCAAAGCACAACTAGACCCTTAAAAATAAAAGTTGTCAGTTAAAGGGACAAAGAGCATTTGAGAAGAGGCCATGGTGTAACGGGAAAATGAAAACTCTGATGTTATCATGAAGTCATGGCATGCTTGAACACTGGTATTGTTTCTCTGGACTTAAACCATGACCTCATCTGACACTGACAGTATTGATTCGATGGAGCTATATAGAAGGAAAAATGGATAATTTCAATTCAATTAAATTCAAAACCTTTATTTATCCAGGTAAAATCCCATTGAGATCAATGATCTCTTTTTCAAGGGAGACCTGCAGCAGTAGGTTCCACAAGAAGACATAAACAACAGAACAACAAAAGGACATCATACAGCAAAATGTACAGGGATTACAATTTACATATTTAACCACAAGTACAGGTACCAACAGCATCTGATTTTGTAGCATCCAACCGAGCTTTAAAAACATGTAGTGGTACTAGCTTGGTAATTTTCCATTCTTTTTGCAGACTGTTCCATGTTAGTGGAGCTGCACATCTAAAAGCTTTCTTCCCTAAGACAGTCCTAGCACTTGGCACATTTAATAAAACCACAGCATGCGATCTCAGGCAATAAGTACTTTCAATTCGCAGAGAGATCAGGGAGCAGATATAAGATGGTAGTTTATCCAACATGGCTTTGTAAATGAAAAAGTACCAGTGACTGAGCCTCCGTACAGTAAGTGATGGCATAACCGCCTTGGTATACAGGGTACAGTGATGCGTAAGTGCTTTACAATTTGTCAAAAAATCTCAGTGCACTGTGATACGCAGCATCTAACTTGCTCAGGTAATTGGCAGGTGCATTCATATATAACAAATCACCATAATCCAGCACAGGTAAAAAGGTCACAGTGACTAGCCTTTTCCTGGCCTCAAGCGAGAAACAGGACTTATTTCTGTAAAAGAAACCTAGCCTAACCCTCAGCTTTTTAAGCAGGTTATTGACATGAAGTTTAAAAGTGAGACAGTCATCAAGCCAGATACCCAAGTATTTGTAACAGGTAACCACTTCAAGTTGTATTTCTTGCGTAGTTACAATATCCAAAGCAGTCTCTGGTGTATTTTTAGCTTTAGCTTTAGAAAAGAGCATTACCTTGGTTTTATCCACATTTAAAAGAAGCTTAAGCTCAGAGAGCTGAGCCTGAATAATGTTAAAAACAGCCTGTAATTTAACAACAGCCTCGTTAATCGAGGGACCTGCACAGTACATAACGGTATCGTCCGCATAAAAATGTAAGGTTGCTCCTTCGACATTTTCACCTAAACTATTAATATAGATAGAGAATAATAGCGGACCTAAAACTGAACCTTGTGGTACACCATTAGCAATGTTTAACCACTCAGAAGACAGCCCATCAAACTGAACACATTGGGATCTTTCAGAGAGGTAGTTTACAAACCACCCTACTGCATGGCTGGACATGCCTATGCTGACCAGCCTTTGCTTCAAAATGCAATGATCGACAGTATCAAAAGCTTTGGATAGGTCAACAAATAGAGCTGCACAACTCTGCTTATTATCTAAAATACTCGTAATATCATTTACCACTTTCATTGTGGCAGTGATGGTGCTATGTTGCTTTCTGAAGCCTGACTGATGTTTAGACAGGATGTCATTGTTACATAAAAAAAAAAAAAACTCCTTTACCTGTTCACTCACTAAACTGTAAGAGACAGGCCATTTTCCTCTCTGTCCTCCTCAATACATCAGCTTGTACATACAACAATACACATCTGGTGAGCTACTTCTGGTTTCTTAGGAGCTCCATGCTGTTTTCTAGCAATGACTGTCTTCAGTTCTGATTGAGGCTGAACGATAACATGCTATAAATAGGCAGCCAAAGGCATAGAGGATAGCTGTTTTTTTTAGGGGAAATTAAATTTTAGGCTGCGGTGCTGACTGCTGCAGCTTTTTACCAAAAGTGGTCATTGGCTTGTTTTTCCCTGCGGCCCTTTTCCTCGTGCTGCTTCTCTCTGTGGAGTTTCTTTTTAGAGAACGGTGGCCTAACCTGTGAGCCCTGCTGCAGCTACCACACATATGGTTTGAAGAGCAGGAGAAATACATTGTGAATAGCAGATATATGTTTGTGTATTATGTGACAGAAAAATATGAAAATGAGTGGGAGAAAATCTATGGTGAGAGTAAGAGCAAGAAGAGAGGGTTCAGATTTGCCCATGTAGGCGAGAAGCTGTTTTATCGCTGCATGTCCATGGGCAACAATTTGATCTGTTTTTATTCCCACGCCCTCTCTTGAAGTGTGTGAAATGGTTGCCAGACAGCAGCCTCCATAAACTTTTGCGAATTGAGATTTTATTGTTGTTGTTTTTAGCCAGAGGGCATTGAATAAAGCAGAGGGATGCAGTGCACTGTGGCCCAAGGCTACACCAGGAATACTGGCTGCCTCAGCTAGCTAATTAGTCAGGTGTCAGCCGCTTTCTTTACTCTGAACAAACACACACACAAACACACGTGCGCACACACACTGCTTATCCAACGCACTTACACAGTCATTAAAGAAATGTTCGTCTTGTGTGAAATTCTATCAATCACCAAAGACTTTCAATCAACATCCATGGCTCTGGGATACAAATTCTGTAATGGACAGAACAGTAACTTCCACTGGGGTATAAATGTTCCAGCTAATTAGAGCAGAGATTCAACATAAACATCACGGGAAAGGATAGTGAAATGCAATATGTCTGCAATCAATTATTATGTGTTCCTATCAATAATTTGCAGATTATATTCATGATGATTATATAAAATGTAAGAAAGAAGTATAATGCCTCTCACAATTTCCTGAAGCTTAATGTGGCTTCACAAGATATTCACCTTACTATAACATCAAACCAAGAAAAGCAACACATATTCATAATTATTATGTGTGTGTGTGTCATTTCTGTTTAAAAAGGGACCGTAAGCATGGGCGTAATTTCCACTGGGGACAGGGGGGACATGTCCCCCCCACTTTTCAAAATCCCATTTGTGTCCCCCCCACTTTTTAAATGGGTCAGTACAAAAATAAAAAACACAGTTTGAAAGGGGAGTGACTAGTCAAATATGCATAAATAAAAAGAAAGAATGCAGACTAGGTAAGATAGGAGAGAGGAGTTGATCAATGATTTGTTATTGGTTGTGAGCATATTCTAATGGTTTTTGATTATTGAAATACAGTTCTGTTTCATATGAGTGTTGAGAACTGTATCCATAAATCTCTTAATGTTGCCCTCAAAGTGCACCAGATTGATGCATTCAACTTAAATTTAAAGAAACAAATCTTCCAGGGGTGCATGCCCCCGGACCCCCTATATGGGATGTCAGGTCATCACAAATAAAACAGGTTCACATGGATAGGATACTAGATAAGTGTGCACACTCATTATATACACTACACTTGTTTCTTGGATTTGTTAACACTATAGTCCCTAATATATAAAGAAAGGCAGGAAATGGAATTATATTGAGAAAATGTTTCATTGCGGAGGACCCCCTGTTTTGTGTCCCCCCCCCCCCACTTCTCAAACCAAAGTTACACCCTTGACCGTAAGTAATAACATGTTCTGTCTGGCATTATTGATCACAACATAATAACGCATCATCCTTCTGCTTGAGTGGATTTAGATTGCATGCGTTTCCTCAGGGTAGCACTATAGGTACTTTTGTTTTTGTAAATGCAAATGGATGTGAAATGCCTCAAATTAAGCTTTTGAAAAGTAGGAAACTCAGCACCTGACATAATCATAGTTTCATTAGTACTGACTGCCAAAGCAATCACACTTGTGAAAATGATGTTAATATTGGATCTCACTTAATGCATCTATAATGATAGATCCAAGGAAAGGTGCTGTTTCAGATATGGTTTAACGTTTTGGGAAATGCCCTTTATTTGCTATTTCAGTCTTGTCTCTGTGCATTAATTATGGAGCGAGTGACATGTGTACAGATAACTAACATGGTATAACAATGAGTGTTAGGTGTTTTTTTCATGTAGAGACAAGCCAGCTTTCCCCCCTTGCTCTCAATCTTTATGCTTGATAATCTA